AGCCTCAGGAAATTTAAGAAAACTGAAATCGTATCAAGCATCTTTTCTGACCATAACACTGTAAGGTTAGAAATCAACTATAAGAAAAAAAAACTGCAAAAACTGCAAGCACATGAAGGTTAAATAATATGCTACTAAACAACCAATAAATCACTAAAGAAATCAAAGAGGAAATAAAAAAATACTTTGAGACAAATGAAAACAAAAACACAATGATCCCAAATCTCTGGGATGCAGCAAAAGAGGAGTTTATCGCAACACAAGCCTACCTCAGGAAATAAGAAAAATCTCAAGTAAACAAACTAACCTTACACCTAAAGCGGCTAGAGAAAGAAGAACAAACAAAAGTATTTAAAATAAAAAATTTAGCAGAAGAAATTATAAAGATCAGAGCAGAAATAAATGAAATAGAGACTAAAAAAAAATAGAAAAGATCAATGAAACTAAAAGCTGGTTCTTTGAAAAGATAAACAAAATTGATAAACCTTTAGTTAGACTCATCAAGAAAAAAAAAAAAGGAGAGGACTCAAATCAGTAAAATCAGAAATGCAAAAAGAGAAGGTACACCCACATTACAGAAATACAAGGGATCATAAGCAGCTGCTATGAACAACTATACACCAACAAAAAGGACAAAGTAGAAGAAATGGACAATTTCTTAGACAGGTACAATTTGCCAACTCTAAATCAAGAAGAAATAGACAATATGAAAAGACCAATTACCAGTACTGAAGTTGAATCAGTAATTTAAAAAATCCCAACAAACAAAAGTCCAGGACAAGGGGAATCCTACCAAACATTTAGAGAAGAGTTAACACCTATCCTTCTGCAACTATTCTAAAAAATTGCACAGGAAGGAACACTTCTAACTCATTCACCCTGATACCAAAACCAGACAAGATATCACAAAAAAAGAAAATTACAGGCCAATACCACTTATGAATATAGATGCAAAAATCCTCAACAAAATACTAGCAGACTGACTCCAACAATTTATGAAAAGGCTCATATACCATGATCAAGTAGGATTTATCCCAGGGATGCAAGGATTTTTTAATAACTGCAAATCAATCAATGCGATACAAACCAAAGAATAAAAGCCGTAAGACCATCTCAATAGATGCAGCAAAAGCTTTTAATGAAACTCAACATCCATTTATAATAAAAACTCTCCAGAAAGTGGGCATACAGGGAACATATCTCAACAAAATAAAAGCCATATATGACAAACACACAGCTAACATCATACTTAATGGTGAAAAGCTGAAAGCATTTCCTCTAAGATCAGGAGCCAGACAAGGATGCGCAGTCTCGCCATTTTATTCAACATAGTTTTGGAAGTCCTAGTCATAGGAATTAGAGAAGAAAAAGAAATAAAAGGAATCCAATTTGGAAAAGAAGTAAAACTGCCACTGTTTGCAGATGTCATGATACTATACATAGAAAACCCTAAAGAAGTTACTAGAAAACTACTATAGCTCACCAATGAATTCAGCAAAATTGTAGGATACAAAGTTAATACACATAAATCAATTGCATTTCTATACAGTAACAGTGAAATAGTAGAAAAAGAAATTAAGAAAATAATACCATTTACCATCACACCAAAAAGAATAAAACACCTAGAAATAAACCTACCCAAGGAGGCAAAAACCTGTACTCTGAAAACTATAAGACACTGATGAAAGGAACTGAAGATGGCATAAACAAATGGAAAGACATACCGTATTCTTGGATGGGAAGAATCAGTATTGTTAAAATGGCCATACTACCCAAGGGAATATACAGATTCAGTGCAATCCCTATCAAATTACCGATGACATTTTTCACAGACCTGGAACAAAAAAAGTTAAAATTTTTATAGAAATACAAAAGATCCCGAATAGCTAAAACAATCTTGAAAAAGAAGAACGGATCTGGGGGAATCACACTCCCTGACTTCAGACTATACTACAGAACTACAGTAATCAAAATAGTATGGTATTGGTACAAAAACAGACAAATAGATCAGTGAAACAGGATAGAAAGCCCAGAAGTAGACCCACACACTTATGGTCAATTAATCTATGACAAACGAGGTGAGAATATACAATGGAGAAAAGACAGTCTTATCAATAAATAGTACTGGGAAAACTGGACAGCTACCTGTAAAAGACTGAAAATAGAACATTCTCTAACACCATATACAAAAGTAAACTCAAATGGATTACAGACTTAAATGTAAGATCAGATTCTATAAAACTCCTAGAGGAAAAGATAGGCAGAACACTCTTGGATATATATCACAGCAATATATTTTTTGAACCAGTTCCTGGAGTAATGGAAATAATAGTAAAAATAAACAAATAGGATCTAATTAAACTTAAAAGTTTTTGCACAGCTAAGGATACCATCAACAAAATGAAAAGACAATCTACAGAATGAGAGAAAATGTTTGCAAATGATGTGACTGACAAAGGACCAATTTCCAAAATATACAAACAGCTCATACAACTTAATATGAAAAATACAAGAAACTCGATCAAAAACTTGGCAGAAGGCTTAAATAGACATCTCTCCAAAGGAGACATCTAGATGGGCAACAAACACATGAAAAGATGCTCCACACATCACTAATGGTTAGAGAAATTCAAATCAAAACTACAATGAAGTATCACTTCACACCAGTCAGAATAGCCATCATTGAAAAGTCTACGAACAATAAATTCTGGAGAAGGTGTGGAGAAAATGGAACCCTCCTACACTGTTGGTAGGAATATAGATTGGTACAGCCAGTATGAAGGAGAGTATGCAGTTTCCTTAAAAAATTAAAAATATATTTACCATATAATCCAGCAATCCCACTCCTGGTCATATACCCAGATAAAAATACAATTCAAAAAGACACATGTACCCCAGTGTTCATAGCAGCGCTGTTTATAATAGCCAAGACATGCAAACAACCCAAATGTCCATCAACAGATGAGTGGATAAAGAAGATGTGGTATATATATACACCATGTGGTGTGTGTACATACATACACACAGATATATATATACACATACACACACACATATGTATATACATACACACATACATATACATGCATACAGAATGGAATACTACTCAGTCATAAAAAGAATAAAATAATGCCATTTGTGGCAACATGGATGGACTTGAAGATTGTCATTCTAAGTGAAGTAAGCCAGAAAGAGAAAGAAAAATGCCATATGATATTGCTTATATGTAGAATCTAAAACAAACAAAAATGATACAAATGAACAATTTATTATTTATAACTTAGATGACTGATTTCTTGAATATGTGTGAGCACATTTGACTGCCCTTTATGATAGGATTACTGCATTCTGTTGATGCAGTAAAATAAACATTTAGCTAAAAAAAAGTATACAGTAAACTAGTCTCTGTTATGACATGTAATTATTAGAAGAAAAAGGAGTTCTAAAAAAAAAAAGTTATCACTTGTGTTACAGCCCTCTCTTACTCAGAAATTCTTTTGAGATGAGGCTTCTTCTTAAGGTTTATTCTTTGGTATGATCCATTCTGCTTTCCAAATCCATTTTCATTCTCTTTTTAGAACCTTTAGTCCTCTGATGGGTACCCCTTCTGTTTTGGTGCTTTTATCAATTCCATTTTATAAAAAGTCTTTATTATTAATTCAAGGGGATTTTATTTGAGGGAGGGAAGGTAAATGCTGACTTCAGTCTGCCATCTTGAACCCAAAATGCCATATTTTCTTTTTAATACCCAGAAGTTCAGAATTTTAAACTCAAAATTATATATATACTAACTAGAGCAGAAAGTCTGCAAAATGATTCCTTAATCACTGAACAGATGAAGAGGTGACTATTTTAGAAAGCACTTCCTCATATTTAAGTAGTAGTTTCTTTGTACTCCACTCTGTGTGCAAAGTTCCTCTCACACTAGATCGTCACTAAAAATATGGTAAGTATTCATATAATTCAAGTAAAAACAGCAGCTGCTTTATAAACATATCAACTTTGAACATCTTTATTGAAAGAATTTTGGTCTTTTTCAGTTTCCTATTTGATTTTTGCTCATCCAGCTCTAGACCTCTCAATCATAGAAGATCAAAATGGAAACTTTTTGTGTATCTAGCCATAATTATTTATATTGTAGGTGAAGAAATTGAGGCTCTGAGAAAGAGTGATTTGCCCAAGACCACCTAACTTGTGGCAGGAACAGACTATAATCAAACTCTTACAATTTCTGCACCAGTGTTCCACCCACACATATACCCCAGTCCCTGCCTTACATATATTCATAATAGTTTTTATCTTTTCTTCACAGCATTTATCTTCTCTTGTTTAATATCTTTCTTTTATGCTGAAGTATAAGCTCTGTAGAAGCATAAGCCCTGTCTTCTTATTCTTCCTTTTACTTTCAGTGGCTCTCTGGGTGCCTAATCCATTATTAGGTTCCCAATAATTATAAACTAAAGGAATGAGTGTGTCACATTACTTCTCTACTTTCAGTAAATTTACTGGGACTCAACTCCTTAAAATAGTAGCTTGGTGGGGGAGTGGTTGGTAGAATCTGTGAACAGTCTGAAATGACATATAAAATTTTCTGGGTATGCCTCTCTTGTTTAGTCTACAGTTTTCTTAATCCTCAAAGGGGCCATTAAAAAGAAAAGAAAAAAAAAAAACCCTGAAGGTCACTGCCTTAGGAAAAGGCTCCCAAACCAGTGTTTTACTCTAATATATTTAGGATCTCAACTTTACAAACAGCTAATTCCCTTTGACTTAATTTTTAATGCTACAGATTTATCTGTAGCATTCCCTTGGCATATTTTGGTAGCTTGGAATTTTTCAAGATCAGGTTCTGGAGCAGTTCAGTCCTCAGGTGAGGAGGGGCATCTAGGTAAGGACTGATGGCAAAGATATGGTACCATGGTACTTCTAGAAGCAGAGATAAGAGAAATAATTCATCAATAGTCCTTCAGCACAAATATATTGTTTGTTTATACAATACTTACCTTTTCAGCTGGAAAGATGTGCTGTTTCATGAACCACTTCACCCTAGTAAGAAGTTCCTGGCCTGTCCTAGTCTGGGCAAACAATTGTCCAGTAGTATCAGTCTGTGGCAGTACAGGACCGAAAGTTCTACATAAAAAAGAAAAGTTACAAAGATTTCCAAAATCATTATTATAGATTTCTGAAAATAGTATGAAGTCTTCCCCAGTTCTCCAAAAATATCTCACAGGAGTTTCCATATTTTGGAGTTTTTAAAGTCTTTCATATTATGGAAGGAATGCAGAATCACTTTATTTTGGACATTAAACTTTAGTGCCTAAAGCACTTCTTGGAGAAGGCATAAGTGTGGCATGACCTCAATCAATGGTAGTTTAAAATCTTTATTGAAGTCACCTGTCAGAATCTCTAAAAAAGAAGGCAAATAAACTGAACACAAATTTAATAATTACTGAGTATATGCCTCACAAATACAGCTGCTGGATGTCATTACAAACAAGATCTTTAAAGGTCATTATGAAGAGTAGCATAGTTGTTTATTACATTGTGAAGATCACAAATATCCAAGTACATGATGAACTATAAAATGCAACCATCGTAATGTTATGCCATGGGGAGTTGTGGCTTGGGCGGAATTTCCAGGGAGCACACCACCAATGCATTCAGTAAGTGCTTTACGTCACATCAGTTAGCTGGAGTCTGGTTGGAAAAACTGTGTCAGATGCCTCAAAAGTACTCCACTGGTGGAGACATGGACTTCAAAGATGCTTATGAAATATTTTAATAAAATTTCAGGAAATGTGATGGTGGAAGAGAGCAACATTACTAAACTTAATAAATCATCTTATATAATACATAATTTTAAATAAGTATATGCAAGTAACTTAAATATTAGAAGGAAACATTTGAGAGTTCTATCAAGATCCTTAAAAGTTTATACATTCATTTAGGTTGGCATACACACAAAAAAACCTCTTAATCATTAATATGTGTATTTTCTTTACATTTGAGTCAATTTATTTTCTAGCATAGAAGACATATACTAAATACAAAACAAAAAAATTTGCCATAATTGGCAGCAGCAATCCTGGTGTTATAAGCAACAAAAACAAGCCCTAATCCCCTAAGGTTTATGACCTTCACATAGGTAATAAAGGCTCTAATTTGAGTTAGCCACAGAATCAATTTTGCTTACCTTTTTGAGAGTTGTAATCCAGTTTCTGCCAGAGGTTGCACAATATTGGCAAACCGAGAGCTACTTTCAGATGCATTATTTCCCAGAAGATATCTACTATACACTCCCTGTAAGTAAATTAACATACAGCGATTAAAATTCATTGAAAACTATTCTTCAGCTATCCAGTCTTTCCACAATTTCCCACCTATGTGAGTCACTAAACTTGCAAAGTATTAATATATAAATCAGACTATCAAGTCTAATAATTTACATGTAGGAATAATTATACCTCCCCAAATTAAAGAATTACACTTGTATCATCTGGTTAACATACTCTCATCATAACAGACTTGTAAGTGGGAATCAAACCAAACTTGAAAATGAATTTGGCAGTAACCAAAGACACCAAATTGGCAAGTTATATCACCTCTAAATACCACTGCTCTCCCTTCACAGTGGGGAAAAATCTAAAGAAACCAAAAAAAAAAACCCCAAAACCAAAAAAAAAAAAAATATAAAATATAAAAGCAAAATAAAATTAAAAACTATAAAATATAAAACCAAAGAGAAAGCAGTGAGATGACCTCTGAGAATACCTCATTTTTGGATCCCTAATTTAGGTTAAGCTCTTTGCCTTTGAACGGTGTTAGCTCAATGCCAATGAGTTTTTTTTCTTAATTCTCCATGTACTGTGCTTCTAACATAAAATACTCTCCTCTTCCCTGCCTCACCCCTTCAAATACACTCAACTGAATTTCATTAGTTTATTTCTTTATATAATTCTTTGTGCAATAAAATACTATTAACAGTCGTTTCATCATTTCCAATTTCCTATTTCTCATTAGAATGGAATGTTTATGATCATCTCTAAGGCTATAGTTTATAACACACATTGATTTCAATCATAAATCATATCAAACTTTTATTTAAAATAAAAATTCGTTTTAAATTCAAAGCCTATTAGGCATCTCATTTGTGGAAACTGCAGACATAGAAACATACCACAAACCCTGTTTTGAGAAACCCATGCAATCAACATGAGTCTAAACTACAGGATGAGATACAACACAACTATTTCCTAGAAGACATTTCAGTTATTTGAGGATAGTATGATCTCCGAGGACATGGAAAAATAACCATAGTTTTCCTTAATTCTTTTTTCCCATTCTTTTTTATTTCTAAAATCTCTCATTTACTTGTTCTTCACCCAAGCCCTAACTCCTTGCCACTGATTAAGCATCTCAATTTCTTAAATAAACTCCTAAGATTCAAAGTAAAAGGAAACTGAGTTATTATAGTGAAGAAAGCACTTGCTTACACTGTAAATTTAAAAAACTGAATTTACGCTCAATTTTCTCTCAAAATTTATCACATAACTATCACATTATTAGAAAGTAGAAAATGGACAGGTTTATTTATCTATCTAGTCACTCAAAAACGTAATAAGAGAATACTATATGCTAGATACTGTGCTAGGCTTTGGGAAATACAAATATAATTCTTTCCTCATCATTAGCCCTGGTTAATAAATGGCTTTATAGTCTGACTCAGACATCATTAAAAGATTTTAGCTCTTTCTTACATTGTGTATTCAGGAAATAACCAATTCTCACATGCTTTTCTCTTTCTCATTGTTTTTCTCCTTTCCTCCATCTTTTTGGTTTATTATACCAAAATGTGGTAACACACTTTAATACTCAACTTTTTCCCTTGCCAAATTTCTATTCTGTAAACTCTGGATTTATATTTTACCCATGTCTGGTATTTGTCACTATAAAAAACAAATTGACTTAAGAATGAAGAATATAAAACCCCCAAAGACCAGAAAATATTGTCAACAGTACATCAATAAATAATGGTGAAACATATGTTATAAAAATTAATTACCTGTGCTATTCCAGCCATTTTAAAATATGAAAGGGCAAGAAAGAAATTCCAGTTAGGAAGATTAGAATTAATTCCCCTGCAGCGGCAATATATTGAAATCAGTTCTTCCATTGATGGTACCCCTGTAAAAGCAGCACATACTCTAAACTTTAAAAGAAAAATCATGGTGAATACATCAAAATATTATAATATTACATATGTATATAAAACTGAATATAACAACCATTAAGCCACATAACAAGATATGTTCTAAATGCTGATTTCCAAAAGAACATTATATGTAATGATTATATTTTGTCATAAATTAGTAAAAGTGGAATGCTATATTCAAAAAACTCAATAAAGAATAAAATGATTTAGAAACATTTCAAGAAACAAATCAAAGATATTTATGCAAGATTATAATATAATCCTATTTTTTAATTATGAAGAAAAATAAAGATAATTTTATATTAATAGTAATTTAGGCAACATTATGTTTCATACCTATGTTTTCTTTCCAATAAGAACTTTGATTTAGCATTGGAATTGTCCTTGGCCAGAAGTAGAACAGGGAAAAATGAGCCAAGTCTGACAAAGGATGACCAATGGTCGAAAGCTCCCAATCCAGTACAGCTATAACTCGAGACTGTAATTAAAAATGAAAAGATTTTAACATATTAAATCTAAAACAGCTAAAATAAGGAAATAAATGAAACAGAATATAGCAAAAGCCACAGTTTCCATCAAAAGTAAATCTGAACCTGCAGTTTGCAGTCTTTTCCCACAGTGGCACACTTCACTTTTCAAATAACTAATTTTAACACCCTTGAAGGAGTAGAGCCAAGTGCTCCGGTTCCATTACCAGCTGTCAGTTTTGCATTTTACTTTACACAGCCTTAACATGTTTACTAATGAAAGGAGGCAAAATCAGTTGAAACTTTTCAACTAGGAGTAACTATGGTAGAGAAGAAACTCTAATAATTACTTATAATTTAAGAATCTATGCTCTGGTGATGAATCTTACAACATAACAGACACTACACTCCTATGGCCATAGTAATTTTTAAAGTAAGTTATTTCATGCTGTAGGTACAAAAATATAATCGTTATAAAAGATGCCATTTGTTTTATGAATATAAAATCCATTATATAGCAATATGATAAGTGTCATGTAATTTGGAACTAATAACACAGAAAGCTTTCCTCATTCTATTTTGTCGCAATATGTATCAAGGGAATATATATCTTTAAGTTAATAACTCAGGACATTCAATTGCAAAATACTAGAGGAAAAGGTAATTTGCAGAATAATACGTAGAGTATGGTACTATTTCTGTTTAAATATAAAGGTTATAAATGCACACTCAAGGTTGAAAGAATATACACCAAACTGATAGCAATGGTTATGGTTACTTCAAGGGACTGAGGCAGGAGGGATGGGATGTGGGAGGAGATGCTCCATCGAGAGGGTTCTGTATGGAGCAGTGACATGATAGGACTCGTTGTTAAGGTCACTGTAGCTGCGATGTTTTGAATAGACTGCAGAGGGGACAGTGAGGAGGCTGCAGCAATGATCTAGACAAGATTATCTAAACCAGATAAAACAGCCGAGCTCATCTGGGCAGTGCAAATTATTGGGTTTCATGCCTCTATATAACCGTGTGTGTGTTTGCACTCCCTTGCTTCTCTTGCACAATTGTATACATTATTGTAGCTTTATGGAAAAACGTGGACTTCAAAATCACATAGGCTAGTATTCAAATCCCAAATGGTGGACATTTACTGGCTGTGCAATAGTGGACACACTAGTTAACCTAATTTTCAATTTTTGCAGCTGCATAGAATTAGTGTAAAAATTAAATAAGGGCAGACAGAAAGTCCATTTTGTTTACCAGTGTCTAGCAGAGTACCTGGCACACAGTAGGTGCCTAAAATGTATTTATTCAATGAATAAGTACAGAGTCTGGAATATAGCAGGAAATAAAAAATTTACTATTGTGACTTTGGAAAAAGCGATCACTCCTTCCTCCATGATTTGACTTCATAAGACCTTTTATGGTTGTGGTTAGATCATATTATTATAAGTTACCATACTTGCTAGATTTGTTAAATTTGCTTAAAAAAAGATTGGATGTATTTTTCTCTATAGCATTCTGTTTATTTCTATGCTCTTAACATCCAAAGAAAAGAAGATGATACACTTAATTATGCTATAAATGTTTACAATTTTTTCAGTGAAAATTGGGAATTTTCTCTGGAGTCAAGTTTAAAGATGTCTGAAATATTTTTTCAGTAATTACACAAAGCTATAAAACAACAGCCAGTGAGAAAAAACAATGGTTCATTAAATTATATCAATTAGTATATGCTAATTAGCAATAATTTAGTAGAACCCTTTGTATGCCTATTTGTGTACAGAGCTGTAAAAGCTCAGCATAACTCCTAGTGGATGAGACGGACATTTACTAGTTCATTTTAGTGCTAAAGAACTTATTAATAAAATGATTTATGACAGTTTTTCTGAAAAAGCTTTTCATTTTGTTGATTATCTTCTACACTGACTTTTATTTTCTATGTATGCTTTTTGCCCTACTGAATTTTATTAGTATGTATGTATATTACCTTTTCAAAACAAAAGAAACAAATGTAATCCAACAGGACAAACAGTAGGTGAAGAGGGCAGGGAAAAAGATAATAACTTTAAAGAAAAAGATAAAGCTGGGAGTAAGGTTATTACCTAAAATCAAATGTCATAGGTTATATATAGTTGTTAGTGTGGACAGCAGAATTTGCTCTGATTTTTCTAAGGACAGAATAAAGTGTGAAGTATGACAAGTCACAATGTTTACAGTGCATGTAGAGTAAAATAAACCAGCTGCACTTGGGTTGCCTCCAGGTGCCCATCAACAATTGATTAGATGAAGATATGGTATATATACAATGGTATATTACTCAACCATAAAAAAGAGTGAAATACTGCCATTTGCAGCAACATGGCTAGACACAAAGAATATCATACTTAGTGGAGTTAGGCAGAGAAAGACAAATATTGTATGATATCACTTAAATGTAGAATCTAAAAAATAGTACAGAATAATGTATACACAAAACAAAAACAGGCTCAAAGATACAGAAAACAAACTTGTGGTTACCAAAGGGAAGCGGAATAGGGGGAGGGACAAATTAGGGGTATGAGATTAACAGATACAAACTACCATATATAAAATAGATAAGCAACAAGGATACATTGTATAGCACAAGAAAAACTATACCCAATATCTTATAATAACCTATAATGGAACATAATCTACAAAAATATTGAATCACTATGTTGTGAATGTGAAATAACATAATAATGTAAATCAACTGTACTTTAAAACAAAGCAAAACAGCTGCTCAAGAGTATCAATTTCGTTGGTGAGATTGGCCAAGATGGCAGAGTAGAAAGACCATGAGCTCATCTCCTCTCACGAGCACACCAAAAGCATAACTATTTGCAGAATCAACACCAATGAAAAAGACCAGAACCTATAAGAAAAGATCTTCTACAACTGAACACATAAAGAAGGAACCACAGTTGGATGGGAAGAATGAGTGGAATCACAATATAGTCAGGTCCCATACCCCTGGGTGGGTGACCACAAACTGGAGAATAATTACATTGAAGAAGTTCCCCCAAAGGAGTGAGAGGTCTGAGCCTCATGTCAGGCTCCCCAGCCCTGGGGGTGCTGTACTGGGAATTTGAACCCTTAGAGCATTTGGCTTTGAAGGCCAGTGGGGTTTAATTTCAGGAGTCCCAGAGGACTGGTAGAAATAAGAGACTTCACTCTAAAAGGATGCACACAAAATCTCACATATTTCAGGACCCTGGGTAAAAGCAGTAATTTGACAGGAGTCCAAGTCAGACCTATTTGCTGGTCTTGAAGAGTCTCTCAGAGAGGCAGGAAACAACTAGAACTCACCACGGGGACATAGACTGGTGGCGGCCATTCTTGGCAGCTCCTTCTATCACATGGACTCTGGTGCTGGTGGGCACCATTGTGGAATCCTCCCTCTAACTTCTTAGCCCCAGTACCCAGCCCTGTCCTGGCCCAACAGCCTGTAGGTGCCAATGCTGGGACACCTTATGCCAAGCGACTAACTGGGTGGGGACACAACCCCACCTATCAGCAGACAGGCTGCCTTGAGACACCCTGCACCAACAGTTATCTCTGAAGATGGCCCTGTCCACCAGGGGGCCCAGGACCCAGATCCACCCACCAGGGGCAGACACAAGATGCAAGAAAACCACAGTCCTGCAACTTGCATATTCAGTCTCCCTACCAGCAGGCCAGATGCTGCCCTGGAACCAGCTGAGCCCCAGGCTTGTCCACTAATAGGCCAACACAAGCTTCAGGACGCCCCAGACCCTGTACCTAATTCTGTTAGGAACCCACCCTGTCACCTGTGATATGGCACCATCTCTGGGTCCCCTGGGCCATGCAACCAGATCCCAGGACCTTCCTGGCCTACCAGCAGTCCAGTACTAACCCCAGGACCTTGCTTCACCCATTAGTGAGTGGGCAACAACCCCTGGAGTCTTTTGGACCCTGAATTTGCCCAGTAGTGAGCCAGCACTACCTTTGGGGTCCCCTAGGTTTCTTTAGTTAGCTGCTTTGTGACCCAGCCTACCAACCAGCAGCTGGCAGCCTCCACACAAGGCAGGGCTGGCAACCAATGAAACCAGGGGGCAACCAATCCTACCAGTCTGCCCTCACAGTCAGCTTGCCACAACAGAAGGACCCACGTTCCTCTTAGGGGAAACCCTGAGAGCACATAGCTTGAGTGATGAGAGAAATGTGCTGCTGGGATGCATAGGACGTCTCCTACAGAAGGTCACTTTTCCAAGGTTGGAAAACATAACTAATGTAACAGATACATAACAATATAAACAGCAACATAGGCAAAATGAGGCAACAGAGGAACACGTTCCTGACAAAGGAACCAGCCAAACCCCAGAAGAAGGACTAAGTAACTAAGTAGTGCCTGGAGATAGGCAATCAACCCAAAAAATACTTCAGGCAAGTGACCATAAAGATAATAAAAAAAAACTCAGGAGGAGAATGGATGTGGAGGAGTGGGATGTTAGAAGTTTTTAACAGAATCAGAAAATATAAAGAGCAACCAAACAACAATGAAGAATACAGTAAATGAAATGAAAAAATATACCAGAAGAAATCAATAATAGACTAAATGATACAGAGGAACAGAACAGTGAGCTGAAAGACAGAGTAATGAAGATAATGATTCTGAACAGTTAAAAAAAAGACAAAAAGAATGAAAAGAAA